TTCTTTCAAGCTGATCCTTCCAAGGTGAGGTCTGCTTTGTTAATGCTGATAAGTTAACTAAGTAATTTGGAGCAGTTTTCTTAGTTTTTGCTACGTTGGTGTGACAGGATGATCTTGAATTTCAGCTACAGAAGAAGGTGGGGCAAGCTGATTTAGTTTCCTGTTGGCGCCATTTGCAGGTTTGAGGTTTTGTTTCGTTTGTTTTCTCTGCGTCTATGGAAACGTAGCATAGCTAGAATGTGATATTCTAATATCCTTAGAAAATCTTGTTTTTGCAGCTATGTTTTGAAACTGAGGAGAGTGCGAGAAGACTCCTAAGTAATGTAGCATGTTTATTGAAACCAGGGGGTTACTTCTTTGGTATTACTCCTGATTCGTCTACAATATGGTATGAAATAATGTACTTATGTACATCAGAATTTTTGTTTATTTTTTATGCCCTGTGTACTCTTTTTCTGTCCATGTTGTTCTTTCTTTGCCATATGGTTTCTGTCAATCTGTGTGCTGAATATATATCACAGAAGAGTTGTCTTGTTGCATTCTTATTGTTTGCCTTTTTATGAATCATAAAAGAAATTCTTGTTTGCTTTAACTCACATCTATGCTTTCCCTGTTCTGGAGCTGAGTCCCTTTTTTTTTGTTTTTTTTCTAAAATCTACTGGTGTATAAAACCTATCACAAACGACCTGCCTCCGAGTTTGTTGTGTGGAATATCGAATGATGTTTAGTGTTAAAATTTACATGAGAATTTGTGTAGTGAAGTATGTCAATTGCTTGTGTGTTCTTGGTTTTTGAGTCCCTAAATTGCATGAAAATGTTTTAAATTACTCAAATATGTAAGTCATATCTGTACTAGTGTTTCCTGTGAATTGATAACTGGGATTTCACTTCATCGATTTCAGCTTTTGGTTGCTTTAAATATTATCCAGTTAGACTACGCTCCTTAACATCCGGATCAAACAGGGCAAAGTACCAGAAAAATGTTGAAGCATACCACAATAGGAGCGGAGGGACGAAGCCAAATGTTTTTCCCAACTACATTCGTTCTGAAAGTTACTCGATCACTTTCGAAGTAGAGGAAGAAAAGTGGGAATTTTTTCTGAGACAAGTTTGTTATCCCATCAAGTTCCTTTTCTGAAATTGAGTCTGAGATATTTTCTTTGCAGATTTCCACTGTTTGGAAAGAGATACCAGCTGAAATTTTCTGGTGACAACACTGTTGAAGACCATTGCTTGGTTCACTTCCCAAGCTTAATCAGGTGGGTTCTCATGCACCAGTTACCTTTTTTGTTCAGCAAAACGTAACACCAATTAGATGATATGGGATCGCAATGTCAACGATATACACTTGTTGACATTGAGGCTTGTATCTATTCTTTAACTATAGTAGTGAAAACGATTTCCATTGCAACCATACTCGTGATATTGCTTCTAGTGTTGAGCTACAAATGACATCCAATCTGTACATATCCTTTGCTTCTCGGTCTCTAATTTCTCTTTCATTTTTTTTTGTTTTGAAAGAAATTTTTTTATATTTTTATTCAGGTTAGCAAGGGAAGCTGGCCTTGAATATGTGGAGATTCAAAGTTTAACAGATTTTTACGATGACAACAGGTTCCAAAGTCTTACAATGCTTACAGATTCTCAGTCTCATACAAGAGCTTTTGTATATCATAGTTGCTTCTTTCTAAGGTTGTATTACATTACTGATGCTGTTCAACTCTTATGGTCAGAGCCCAATTTGCAAGCTTGCTGATGAATGCTGGCCCTAACTTCGTTGACCCTAGGGGGAAACTTCTTCCGCGAGCATTTGATTTGCTAGGTAGCCTTAATCATCATCCTTATGCCACCATATCTTTATCTAATCCCCAGTTTTGATACTTTTCTAGTCACTTATTTATCCCATTTTTGTGCAGGACTCTATGCAACATTCATATTTCAGAAGCCTGACCCAGACCTTGAACCTCCTCTAACGACCCCAATACCTTTTGAGGGTTCCAGTAATCATGATGAGGCAAGTGTTACTTGTCATATCTCAATCGATACTAGTATAAAATCATGCCGAACTTCCCTTTCACTTTAGAAAAAGAGTC